CCCCCCCCCGAATTTGGTGAAGAAAAGAACGCATCCACACAGGTCAATGATTGCTTGCTTGAGGGTTTCCCGGCATCCCGTCCCTTTGGAGCAGCTGTGCCGTGGTCGTGCCAGCGGTTTGGTCAGCCGCTTGGTAACCAAGTCACCGCCCCAGAGACTTGGTTTCTTCGCACAGAGACGTCAACGAGCAACCTCACACATCAGTCAGGCTACGATTCCGACCCTCCGTGAGCTTGCTTTGCGTGGAAATCCTTTAGTACATTCCAGTGTTATGGTTGGCTGACGGTGGGGGCAGGGATCTACACACGGATTGCAGGACCACAAAAACCAAGCATAGAAGTCGACGTATCTTGTCTTAATAGCGAACAGCGACAACGACGACGACGACGACGACAGCGGTGGTGTATTGCGTGCTTTGCTATTTCGCCGCCCCTCCATCGAATAGACCCCCATGTGTTCGCCGTAAACCAACAGTCCAGACGTGCACACTTCGATCATGACACAGGGTAGTCTCAGACTTGACGGCCAACTGCAGGGTAGCTGAGACTCGAAGAGCCACTGGAGACTGAAGACCCCCAGCCTTCAGGGGTCCATCTCAATCTTCTCTCGCGCTATCCTCCACTTCCCGAGAAGCTCGTGATGGCGCTACTACACAACCACACAACCGACCAAACATAATTGCTGCTCATACGTAGAGCCACGAAAACAGTAAGACAATTAAACCTCTCCCTGCGCGTCCACGTAGACGTGCGGCTTCCCCTCCTGCCGGAGCTTTTCCTGCTCCATCCAGAAGATGCACGTGTCGATGGTGTTTCGCTCCGACGCCACGGTGCCCACGGCGACGCTGTCGTTCCAGTAGACGGGGTTGTAACCCCTCTTCAGCCTCCCGGATAGAAGCTTGTGTCGCATGTTGCCCTGGAAGAAGACGAAGGGCGCAACAGGAGTACAGACAAGGGGGGGATTGATGCTGTATGAATATTCAACACCTGACGAGAGGGAGAAAGCAAGGCCTGTCGGTGATACTGCTCGACGGTGGCTGAACACAAAACGCCGGACAAAAGGAAAAGGAGGCAGATGCGAGTAGCCATGCAGAACACAAAGACAGAACGCGCGGCATTCCTTTCCACGTGAGGCGCGACATGTCAAGCAAAGACGGAGCGTCGGCGAACAAAACAGTTGTGAGCAGTACAACCACCCACACTGCGATGTTCACCTCACTTCACGCGCAGGCTTGCGCAGTACTGTGCAGCGCCTGCAATTTTTTGTGGTGAACTCAACAAACACTCCACCTCTCTCCCGAGTGCAGGTGCGCGCAGTCACATCTCCTCCTCCGCCTCCTCCTCATATGAAAATCTGCGGCACAGATCAAACCATGTATCATGCGATGTTAACGTTGTCAAAATACACTTACCGCGGTCTTGGAAGGCCTCCCAAAGTCTTCGACGAGCGCCAACCGGTTCTGGTGGCCGGCGTACCCGCGCTTGGCGGCCTCTGCGTCAAGGTCCTCGGAAGACGGCATGTACGTCGACACCAGCTGCCAAATAAACCCACCCGGCTGTTGTAAAACATGCGTGTGCGCGCGCGTGTTGTGTTGAGCCCGCCGCCCGCCGGGTAGGGTAGCCAAAGACGACGACAACGCAGCAGCGGCGTGCACAGAAAGAGATAAAATTGATGCGGAATTCGATCACGCAAGTGTTCATGTTTCCTTCTATCGGGAGCGTGGGCGTAGAAAGGCATGCGCTGCGCGAGCAGTACGCCCTAAAACGCGAATTACATGTACTCCCAATCTGGACGTACGCGGAGGTCTGCTTCGTGCAAGTTACCCCGCATAGACTACATGGATACAAAATCCTGCTGAAATAGAGTGGCGAAACGCTGCGTCCCCCCAACAAGGTACTCTCTCAACAGTCATTAAGCATTCGTTTTATGGCTTTGCCTCGATACGTGCCGTTAGACCCCAGTGCAACAGTGGACACATTTCGACAAGAACGGCTTCTTACTGCTGTAGTCTCTGTTGCGGCTGGTAGGATGGCCCCAGCGCGGAGCTTGGCGTGTCAGTCGCCTGCTGTGCTGTCACATGCAAGCATTACTCAAGTGGGCCTGCCTACGACCAACGCCATTCCCAAGCCTAGTGCTCCTACTTTGGAGCCACCTCACGCTACTGCCAGGAGTCTGTGAAAATAATGGGAGCTCTGAAGCTATACATTCATGGACGGCGTTTATACAACAGCAGCATGCACGTCGAGCAAGGACTCCTTCTCCAACAGGGAGCAACACCTGGCTTTCTTGAACACAGAACCCGGCCCCCGGCCGCAGTAAGGGGAGGCAGGTACGCTCATCGTCGCTCTAATGTCAGAGGGAGAGAGATATGGGACACAGGGTTCAGCTTTGTCACCACCGCGGCGCCTCCAGTGCAGCTTGGGCCTTCGCCAAGGAACGAATTGCGACATTTCCTTTTCTCTCTGCCCAACGCCTGCCTGCTTGCTGCGTCGAGCAGGACGTACTGACCGATGGGTCTTCTCGTCAAACTCTCTTACAACAAAACCCTCGAGCTCACCATCTTGGCTTCTTTCTCTCTCTTTCTCTTTCTCTTTCTCTCTCTCTCTCTCTCTCTCTCTCTCCCTCTCTCTCGATTTTCGTCCTCTTGTGCCTAGCCTTCCGACCTGGTAGCTGCTCCTCCTGTCTCGTGCACTTGCCTCTGATGGATGAGCTCGGAGTTGTGCTGCTGCATCGTCATGTGCCTCCCGAAACCCCCACCACTACCCCATTCTTGTGGTCTGCGTATCCCCCGACACCCCTTCTCCGGAGATCCGCGCATACAATGCGAGGCCGTAGTTTTTTATTTTTTTCAGCACACAAGGTACTTGGCCGGCTTCTTCGCCAAAATGTTAACATGGGGGATATTGTGCTGAAGCATGTGAGGAGAGAGGACCAGCTAGCAGAAATATTGACAAAGTCCTGAATCGTGTTCCAAAACTGAGGACGACGGATCAAGAACATGGAGGATCTCCCAAATAAATAGTAGAAAAATATATTTGACGCGGAGGAATTTTAATTAAGGGTACCCGGACAACCTCCTGCTATGTTGCCTAATTTCGAAAACAAACGCAAGAGCGCCAGAAAATGCACTAGAGACACATAAGACCAGTCGGAAGGCATCGCAAAAACAACAAGTCCAAAATTCTGGCACAGGGCAGCAGTAGAGACCGCTCAAAACGTGCTTTTCGCGCGTCTACCTCCACACGCATCCTTTGAAACCAAGATAAAAATCCACACTATTATGAGACTGTTGTCTCCAGGTTCGCGTGTGAGCAAGTTCCCTTAGGGATGGGCGGTGTGGATACACACCGGATCAACCTCTGGTGGAGAGGCTGATGTACGGAGCTTTGAGTCGAGTCTGTGTGAGTGCGGCAAGTGGGGATCAACCTTGTGTTGTAGCAAGGTTCAGCATCCCACCTGCACTGACTCTATCTGTGGTAACACCCCGAAGGTAGATCTCCGACAGGTCATCTGACGTCACAATCTACGACGGTCTGAGGTGGCATTCACACTACAGTCGTCCCCGCTTTAAAGACGCATAGCGTTTTTTTCTTTCAAAGCGTCTTTATTAACGCGGGGAATCGTCTTTAAGATTCCGGGGACGATAACGCACCACCCCCGGGGCCGATGGAGGCATAACATACATCAAAAGACGCGCCGTTGCAACACGTAACTTATAACGAAACGAGGATCCATAAATCTGACCGCTCACAACGTAGCCGTGGTTGAAAGTGGAATGCACTATATATATATTTATATATTATAAACCATGTTTTAAGTTACCGCGCCACCGCCCGCAATAATATGCTCCCGACATGTGGGTTGTTGCGGGATATAGTTTTGTTGTTATGACTGCAGTGCACTCTCTCGGTTGTGTGGCGACTGCTGCCTGCTGTGTTGTTTTTATTTTCTTCTCGTTTTCCTGATGTTGAAAACCTCACCGACACATCCTTCACCACAGCGGTTCCAACTTTGACACGATACTTCAGTATATCCTAAGCGATAGAGACACAAACACCCTACACACGAAACTCAGATGGACATCAACGCTAAATTATCGGTGAAGATGAAGCAATAAAAAAAAAGAGCCCATCGCTGTATGCCCTCCGAAAAAAAAAACTATCGCCCCCA